TTCTCCTCACAGATGAAAAGAACAATTTTCGAGAGAAAGGCTCGTTTTGATTAAATCTGACATGCTGCTGATAACTCCATGCTAATGTGAAATAATTAACATAATAGCCATAATTAAAAGCACGCTAACAATGCCATAAATTTATCACACAATTTTACTAGCTTTCTGCCCCTAACTGCTCTCTCATCGTTAATTAAACGTGTTGCCTTTTACAGAATGGATGTTTATACATTTCCAATACAAATAAATTCGAAACCATTCTCTCTCTCTCTCTCTCTTTGCTTAAGCTCTGAACCTTCCTTTTCAGCCAGAACTTAACTGGAGGTCTTTCTCAGACCCAGCCTTTCTGGGATGTCTGGAAGGAAACCACTCAGCTGTTGGCTATGTGCTTGGGCTGCGGCCAAACCCTGTTTGCTGCTGTCTCTCTCTCTCTCTCTCTCTCTCTCTCTCTCTCCCCCCTCTCTCCTCTCCCCTTTCTTTTGGTCTCTGCCATTTACAGGCACACCCTGGTGAGTACTGTGAATGACAGACACTGAAAATAAATGAAGTTTTGAGATGCAAATCTAAACAGGAACATTAAATTTGACTCTTTACAGCACCCAGCTCCCTGACCAGAAGAGCTCTGAGGGTGTGGGGTATGGAGTTAAAAGTGTGTTGAAATCCTCATCCACTGGGAAATGGGAATAATCTGGGTGGGCAGAAACGCTAGGTATCTTACACCTGCCCTTCCCACCTTCCTTGGCAGCAGCTATCCAGACAAAGAGGTGGGTAATAGTCTAGAAAATCTATGAAAATTGTTCAGAAGGAGCAGACTTCGGCTGATGCACCCCTCTCTTCTCATAACCTGGTCTGGAAGTCCCTGATTGTAAGAAAAGTGCATTTGTGCACAGGAATGATGATTCTGTCTTGGCATCAAACCATTGTTATAGTCTCTGTCTCAGAGGGATAGAAAGCACCTGGGTTCACTTGGGCCTGTGTGGACTGTTCTGCCTCCTGCACTCTCTGACCCTACCCCTCTTCCCATCCATGCTGATCACTTAAGAACCCAAATTGAGCTGGAATTAATCTCCCCCTTCTCCATAATAAATTGTCCCATTCACATACTCCCCTTCCAGAATGCTGGCACTAAACCTCTCCTCCCCTGAAGACGTCTCAATTTCCTTCCTATTGATCCTGACTCCACTCTTCTTGCCTCCTGTTGCTAGAACCTAGGCTCTTCCCCCACCCCCAACACACACAACATTCCTGGACCTCTTTCAGCCCAACACGACCTACTCTGGCTGCCTCAGGAGAAAGCAAAGGAGCTTCTCTCCATTGATTAGGTGGAATGACTTGGACTTTAGCAGGTGAGAGCACTGGCTGCCATCTTCCTCCTAATATCTCCTGGGAAGTTTGCTTGCTGACCCAATTTGTCACTCCCGTTCCTAACTGTGTTGGTGTGTGTACTCCGTCTCCCTCAATGCACCCCAAATAAATTTTGGCAACTGAATGTTTATCCATTTCCCTTACCCCTGTCACATCTTCTCCCCCAGTGAGCATCATCTTTTTCTCTCACTTCTTTATTTCTGTTCTAAAGTTTGGAGGTAACTGATGACTTGGGGTGTTTTAGATACTGACTGCAATCACGCGGCAAACTATTTAGCCCAGAATCTAGCAGGCTTCAGGCTACGGCCCTCTCTCAGGGCGGCTTCCAGCGGTGAGGGCAGCCGGAACCCTCCCGCCTCCCAGCTGCGCAGCGCTTCGCCTCTTTCTCTCGCCGGGTGTCAGTATCACTGTCCACCCGGAAGGAAGAAACCCACAGCGGGTCCCCAAGCAAAGAGCTACCCCGGAAAAAAATCCGCGGCCTCCGGTGGAAATCGGTATTAAGCCGTTAGGCCGGTGCAGGCGCAGGGCGTCGGGGCAGCAGTGGGTCCCGCACGTCTCATCATTTAGCTAATCGAGTCGAAAAGTTTCTGTAGGGGCCGGACCCAGCATCAGATGGTAACACTGATTGAACAAGAGATTAGCACAATAGATCTCTAACCGAGGGGAAGCGTTGCTTTTCACGCTACGCACCGTAATTAATGGTATGAATCAATTAATTTGACTTTTATTGTGTCGAAGGAAAAAGGCGCAACAAATGGAACCGGCAGCTGGGAGTTGTTCACCACCCCCTTCCCCAGGGAGGTTCCAAGGAGACACACGGGAATGGACCGCCCAGATCCGGCCTCGGCGGAGGGGGAGAGGCCGCCGTCAGCCGTGCTAAGTCTCCAGAGCCAGCTCTGGCGGGCGGAGGAATCGGAATTGGGTTCATTTGGTGACTGTCACTTCAAAAGGAGCATCAAGAGCAGCCCTGGAGCCCGGGTTCTCGTGCTCGCACAGGGACACATGCGTGGCCACCGAGGCCCAGTCACTCAGACCTCACAACTGTCCGCGCGGCACCCAGCGCTGCGGCTACCGCTGGGCAACGCAAGTTGAGCCAAAGGCGTTTCTAGATTTGTAAATTTGAATTATGTTTTCTTTTCCTCCCGACCTTCCTTAAAGTTGCTCGGGCAATTTCCACTGTGACCTCTTGTCTAGGATGATCCACAGCCAACTCGCGGCTCCGATCAGTTTCGCGCGTGACTGTTTAGACCGCGTTGTAGACGTCTTTGAGCCTGCGGGTCACAAGCAATGCAGCTGCAAAAATCAACTCAGACATGTGTTGTCAGATAGGGTCAGATGTAACACCGAAATCGTTTGTAAACAAGGATCTTGGAGGTTCTAGACGTCTTAGGATGGAGTCACTACCCTCACCCACCCAGTGGTGTTCCCAACCTCGGAGCATCTTTGAAGTCCAGATCCAAAGGGTTAGTGGTATATTCGGGGGGGGGGGGACGATGGGGATAAAAGTCAATCTTTGTGTCCTGATGTCTGTAATGAGGTAAGTTTGCAGTTTATTTTATTTTATCCATCTTGTGTGCTAGGGAAAGTGGGTCTAGGTGATGAGAATCAAGCACACTGACCACCTGGAATTAAATAACTTTTCCGGTATTGTCTATAAATACTACAGTTATCCTTTCCTTCTTGACCTCCTTCTCTCATGTTCTATACCATGATGAAAACAGCCTTCCTCTCCCAGCCCTTTAGTTGGATAGACCTCGGGTTTCTAGAGGGCCACAACCGGCTGGCACTCGCGGTACACAGAGAAGAGGCCTAAAGTCAGGAGGAAAGAAACAGCACATCTCAGAATAACCCGGGCAGGAGCACCGATTCCTCTTGGGCATAAGAGGTCCACTTGTCCGAACATTGCTAGACCCTGACCCTGGGTTATTTAAAGTCCCCACCTCCGATCCCAGTCGGAATCCCCGCGATCTTTTCTAGCATTGCTGGCTTTTCAGGCCAAGGAAACTCGCTGTGTGCTGGCCACATCTTCGCCTCCTCTCTAGCTCAGATTTCCACAGAAGTTGTCTTGAAGGGCTTGTCAACGCTTTATGAGAGAATCCACATTAGTTAGCAGCAAAGGTGAGCTCAGCCCACCAGCTTGTTCTCGGGCATTGCGGTTCCCCGGAGCCCATAGCCCTGGAAAGTCTCCGCCCGTTCTCCGCAGTTTTCCAGCATCCCCTGCCGATGTGGGGCGTCTAATCTGGAGGCCCTAGGCCTCTTGCCCGGCCCTACCCCATTCGACTTACCCAGGCCGCTGCCAATATTGGCTCCAACCCCGGCTCATTTCCGACTTTTTGGCGTGCTAAGTCGTTTAACAACTCCAACAGTCAGTTACGGCTTCTTTGTTTATAGGTTCCCTGTTATTTTACATCGTTTCTATTTCTCTGCAACTATTCTAATAGGATAATCGATAGTTATTGTCTGACCTTCGAGAACCTCAGCTGATGCTGCTGTGACCGCGCGAATATATATATATTCGCGTCGCGCCAGGGAAGCTAGGATAGGACCTAAGTACTTAGTGGAGAGACACCTCAGCAGATGTCTTCGTCCAGAATAAGCCCCGAAGGCCGGAGAGGGTCGGAGGTCTAATTAGCAAAAGGGAGCCGCGTGAGCTCCCTTACTTAGCCTTTGAAGCTTAAAACAAACCCCCAAAGCAAAACAGATTAATACTGTTTTTTTTTTTGTTTTTTTGTTTTTTTTTTTAAAATGAGATGGCAACCTTGTTCTACACTGCCAGTCGGCCTAAAGAATGTCAGCATGGGGGGAGGGGGGTTGAGGGGAGGGCAGGGAGCGGAGAAGGCTGGACGGCCAGTCCCGCGGACGCTCTAGGAACCAAGCCCTCTCGTACATCCACCCACCGACACTCACGCCCTCCCTGGACCCCGAGACAGCCTCCAACGTGGGCAGGGGTCTCCTGGCTAGCCGAAGCGCCCTCGGGACCCGTGGGATGCTAGCGCCCAGTCGGTGAGGAGTTGCGTGCCTCCAGTCCCTTTGTTGACAATTCCCTGAACCAACTTGAGTTTGGCCGGCTCTGCCACGGCCCTGACGTCACGCGTGGTCACGTGGCCCCGCCTCCAGCTGGATCTTTAAGTAGAAAGTAATCTATCAGGCCAGTCCTTAAAACGGGACTTTCGACTACCGGGGCTACGGCGTCCCTGTCACCCCCCCCCCACCCCCGCGTTTGTCCCTGCCCCGCGCCCTCCGAGCTGCTTGGTGCTGAGCGTCCCGCGTTCGCCTGGACCGCTCCTGAGCCCCACACCCAGGCCAGAGGCCCAGGAAGGCTGGCGAAGTGAGGGGGCGCGGCGAGGAGAAACCTCCCGGGTCGCGAGCAGTGGCTTCAACCTAGTGGGGAGCACCTGGGAGCGCAGGAGTTCTCGGAGCGCTGCTGCGGGCGGTGGACCGCTGCACCCCCGCCGCGAGATGTGGGGCCTCCGAGTGTGAGCCGACCCGGGAGGCCCCGAGCCACCTGCGTCCCCTCCCCCTCCCCGACTTTCGAGGGGCTCCCGAACCCCCATCCCTGAGCTCGGCGGCAGCGCCTAACCGGCCCCCATCGCTCTCAGCTCGCTCCCGGCCGTCGCCACCCATCCGGTGGAGGGATGACCCTCTCCGGCGGCGGCAGCGCCAGCGATATGTCCGGCCAGACGGTGCTGACGGCCGAGGACGTGGACATCGATGTGGTGGGCGAGGGAGATGACGGGCTGGAGGAGAAGGACAGCGACGCGGGCTGCGACAGCCCCGCGGGGCCGCCGGAGCTGCGCCTGGACGAGGCGGACGAGGGGCCACCGACCGCACCCCATCTCGGGCAGCCTCAGCTGCCCCACCAGCAAGCCCTGGCATTACCCAAGGAGGCGTCCGCGGCCGGGCCGGGGGGCGAGGCGGGCGCGCCGGAGGCGGACGGTTGCAAGGGCGGCGAGGACGGCGTCGCGAGCGGCGGCGGGCCTGGCACCGGAGGCGGGGCGGCGGGCGGTCTGACCCCCAGCAAACCCAAGAACAGCCTGGTGAAGCCCCCGTACTCCTACATCGCTCTCATCACCATGGCCATCCTGCAGAGCCCGCAGAAGAAGCTGACCCTGAGCGGCATCTGCGAGTTCATCAGCAACCGCTTTCCCTACTACCGGGAGAAGTTCCCTGCCTGGCAGAACAGCATCCGCCACAACCTGTCCCTTAACGACTGCTTCGTCAAGATCCCCCGCGAGCCGGGCAACCCGGGCAAGGGCAACTACTGGACCCTGGACCCTCAGTCCGAGGACATGTTCGACAACGGCAGCTTCCTGCGGCGCCGGAAACGCTTCAAGCGCCACCAGCAGGAGCACCTGCGCGAGCAGACGGCGCTCATGATGCAGAGCTTCGGCGCCTACAGCCTGGCGGCGGCGGCGGGTGCCGCGGGACCCTACGGCCGCCCCTACGGCCTGCACCCGGCGGCGGCTGCCGGCGCGTACTCTCACCTGTGGCGCCCGTGCTGCCGCCCGCCGTGCCCCTGCTGCCCTCGGGCGAACTGGGCCGCAAAGCTGCCGCCTTCGGCTCGCAGCTCGGCCCGAGCCTGCAGCTTCAGCTCAACACCCTGGGCGCCGCCGCCGCCGCCGCCGCGGGCACGGCGGGCGCGGCGGGCACCACGTCGCTCATCAAGTCGGAGCCCAGCGCTCGACCGTCGTTCAGCATCGAGAACATCATCGGCGGAGGTCCCGCGGCCCCGGGGGGCTCGGCGGGGAGCGCGGGAGGCGCTGGAGGTACGGGGAGCGGCGGGGGCGGCGGCAGCGCGCAGTCCTTCCTGCGGCCGCCCGGGACTGTGCAGTCGGCGGCGCTCATGGCCACACACCAGCCTCTATCGCTGAGCCGGACGACTGCCACCATCGCGCCCATCCTGAGCGTACCGCTGTCCGGACAGTTCCTGCAGCCCGCAGCCTCCGCCGCCGCCGCCGCCGCCGCAGTGCAAGCCAAGTGGCCCGCGCAATAGGGACGCGCCGGTGGCCCGGACGCCGAGCTCCGCGGCGGCCTCTGCAGCGGCTGCGCTTCCCAGCTGTGCGCTCTCCCCGGCGCTGGTCCCTCTGCCCTGGTCCTGGTCCCTGCCCAACCCTGGACTTTGCCACCTGCCCCCGACTCCCTCAACACTGACCATCTGCGGCCTCCATCCCCTAGCTCAGCTAAGCTGGCGGAGCAAACTCCACACGCGCCCGCCGGGAGTAGCTTTCCGTACAGGTAAAACTGATAACCGAATTTCCAAAAATGCACCCCGACGGCGCCTGCTCTCAGTACTGTGCGGGTGGGAGGGAAATTCTTTGTACATATTTGTATAAAAATTATTAGCTTTCCTTTTGGGGTTTTTATTTTTTTAAGAAAAAAAAAACAAATTCAGTAGATTTAGAGCTCTGAACTTTCATTTTTTTTGAAGGTTCACTCTCCACAGTTTTATCTGAGAAAAGAATGTATAGAGACTTTGGGAGATTTTAAATACAAAAAAATTT